GTTTTTTGTGTTAAATCAATATTATAGCTATTCACCCCGCCATAAATTAGATATTACTACTTGATCTCTTGTTTGCTTTATTTTATTTTACTTTATTACTTCCCGAGCGTAAGCAAAGGAAGTATTGTAATCGAGTCCGTCGGCCGACTCTCTACTTTTACGTTTTCTCGATCTTTCATGACCCCTAGAAGACGAAGAAATAGGTCTCCCATTTCCGTCTGTCTGTCCGTCTGTCCGTCCGTCTGTCCGTCCGTCTGTCCGTCCGTCTGTCCGTCCGTCTGTCCGTCCGTCTGTCCGTCCGTCTGTCCGTCCGTCTGTCCGTCCGTCTGTCCGTCCGTCTGTCCGTCTGTCCGTCTGCCCCCGGATTTTTATTAGACAGATAATCTCCGAAAGTACTCGACCGATTGTTGTGAAATTTTGTAGTTATATTAAGAATATCATATAGATGGTAAAACGCTAACCAAAATTTGTCTAATCATCCCCACCACTAATGCGATGACGTCACTTCAAAATTGTACATAGTAAATGGGTTTTCAATTGTATAAAATAACATAGTCCTACACATGTAGTTTACAACTCTGAATCGACTTTTCACCCGAAACGTCCAGATTTTTGGAAAAAAAATCAAAATCATAAAACAACATTTTGCAATTTAATTTTGAATCTTCTAACCCGAATGTTTTAAAATGTTGCAGATGTTTTAAGGCTCTAAAGAGCATCATAAATCTTTAGTCAAAATATATTTGGTTATCCCCTCCAAAAACTTGATGACGTCAGCTCAAAAGTTTGCCGAATAAATCCTATCTAAAATGTACAAAATATGATGCGTCTGTACTTGTGATATATCACTCCATTCATATTTTTTGGATTTGCATATACAGGGTGACTCAAAAAAATTAATGAATGCGCAAAATTTATTTTACTGATTTACTCAGGAACTACAAAACCGAATGCTTTGAAATCTTGAAGATGTTTTAAAATTATCATAAGCATGGTAAATTTTTGATCAAAATGTATTTGGTCGTCCCCTCCTAAAAAATTTATGACGTCACCACAAAATTTTGCTGAATAAATCCTATCTAAAATGTACAAAATAAGGTGACTCTCTTCTTGTCATTTATCATTCCATTCAAATTTTTTCGATTTGCATATACAGGGTGACTCAAAAAAATCTATGAATGCGTCAATTTATTTTATTGATTTAATCAGGAATTACAGAACCGAATGCTGTGAAATCTTGGAGATACTTTAAAGTTATCATAAGCACGGTAAATTTTTTATCAAAATTTATTTGCTCATCCCCCCCTAAAAAAATTGATGACGTCACGCTAAAATTTGGTAAATAAATCCTATCTAAAATGTGAAAAATATGATGAGTCTATACTTGTGGTTTATCATACCATTCATATTTTTTCGATTTGTATATACAGGGTGACTGAAAAAAATTAATGAATGCGTCAATTTATTTTATTGATTTAATCAGGAATTACATAACAGAATGCTTTAAAATCTTGGAGATGTTTTAAAGTTATCATAAGCACGGTAAATTTTTTATCAAAATGTATTTGCTCTGACGTCACTCCAAAATTTTGCTGAATAAATCCTATGTAAAATGTACAAAATATGATGAGTCTGTACTTGTGATTTATCATTCCAATCGTATTTTTTGGATTTGCATATACAGGTGTCTCAAAAAAATTAATGAATGCATGAATTTATTTTATTGGTTTAATCAGGATTTACAGAACCGAATGCTTTGAAATCTTGGAGATGTTTTAAAGTTATTATAAGCATAGTAATTTTTTTATCAAAATGTATTTGCTCATCTTCCCTAAAAAATTGATGACGTCACCCCAAAATTTTGCTGAATAAATCCTATCTAAAATGTACAAAATATGATGAGTCTGTACTTGTGATTTATCATTCCATTCATATTTTTGGATTTGCATATACAGGGTGACTCAAAAAAAAATGAATGCGTGAATTTATTTTATCGATTTAATCAGGAATTACAAAACCGAATGCTTTGAAATCTTGGAGATATTTTAAAGTTATTATAAGCATGGTAAACTTTTGTTCAAAATGTATTTATTCATCCCTCCAAAAAAAATTGATGACGTCATCCTTAAATTTTGCTGAATAAATCCTATCTAAAATGCAAAAAATATGATGAGTTTGTACTTGTGATTTATCATTCCATTCATATTTTTTAGATTTTCTTAAGAGGTGGTTCAAAAAAATTAATGAAGTCAATTTATTTTATTGATTAAATTAAAGGCAACACTTATTATTAGTATTACATTGGACCAACCCAATTTGGTAGACACAAAATTTTTAAAGTAAAAACTCGGTTGAAACATAAGAGTAGCACGCTTATTTACCTCGACTTTAACATTACAGACCTGCATTTGTTTTGTGCGCTGTCTAGGTTCCGTGAATGTGGAATAGACATGTTTATAATCAACCAATTGTGAATTCCACCGTCAAAAATTAAAATAAAACCCAATGTTTTATATAATAAGCGGAAGTCGAAGCAGTAAAACCGATGGTCGTTTTTTTACAGTTTCTCTGTTTGACTCTCACGTATTCTGTTACGCTTGTCATCTTAAATTAAGAATGCTTATACATAAACGATATTCAGTTGCCTCTCACCGGCGCCGTATACGTGAGTAAATTGTTTCGTTATTTTATTGATTATAAAAAATCAATATTCAAAACGACCCAATTCATTCTCCCGAAAATTTGGGAATACAATAATTTTATTCTTAGTATTACACTACATCTATCCCAACTGATATACGTGTCCTTGCAAAAATGTTGATGACGTCATCGCAATTTTTTTTAAATTCACACTACAAAAATGTAATGAGAAAAAAAACACAATAACCATGCAGTCGTCAATTTTCCGACAGCGAGGGTAGTACTATCTAAACTCTTTAGACCAATTTTTATCAAGTGTTTTACGTAGTATAATTCATTTTACTTCCCGAGCGTAAGCAAAGGAAGTATTGTAATCGAGTCCGTCGGCCGACTCTCTACTTTTACGTTTTCTCGATCTTTCATGACCCCTAGAAGACGAAGAAATAGGTCTCCCATTTCCGTCTGTCTGTCCGTCTGTCCGTCTGTCTGCCGTCCCGGATTTTTATTAGACAGATAATCTCCGAAAGTACCGGACCGATTGTTGTGAAATTTTGTACTTATATTAGGAATATCATGTAGATGGTAAAACGCTAACCAAAATTTGTCTAATCATCCCCACCACTAATGCGATGACGTCACTTCAAAATTGTACATAGTAAATGGGTTTTCAATTGTATAAAATAACATAGTCCTATACATGTAGTTCACAATTCCGAATTGAGTTTTCACCCGAAACGTCCAGATTTTTGGAAAAAAAATCAAAATTATAAAACAACATTTTGAAATTTAATTTTGAATGTGCTAACCCGAATGCTTTGAAATGTTGCAGATGTTTTAAGGCTATAAAGAACATCATAAATCTTTAGTCAAAATATATTTGGTTATCCCCTCCAAAAACTTGATGACGTCACCTCAAAAATTTGCAGAATAAATCATATCTAAAATGTACAAAATATGATGAGTCTGTACTTGTGATCTATCGAGTATTTATATTTTGTTGATTTGCATATACAGGGTGACTCAAAAAAATTAATTAATGCGTAAATTTATTTTACTGATTTACTCAGGAACTACAAAACCGAATGCTTTGAAATCTTGCAAATGTTTTAAGGTTATAAAGAGCATAATAAATGTTTAGTCAAAATATATTTGCTTATCCCCTCCAAAAAATTGATGACGTCAGCTCGAAAGTTTTTCGAATAAATCGTATCTAAACTGTGCAAAGTATAATGAGTCTGTACTTGTGATTTATCACTCCATTCATATTTTTTGCATTTGCATATACAGTGTGACTGAAAAAAATTAATGAATGCGTAAATTTATTTTATTGATTTAATCAGGAACGACAAAACCGAATGGTTTGAAATCTTGCAGATGTTTTAAGGTTATAAAGGACATAATAAATGTTTAGTCAAAATATATTTGCTTATCCCCTCCAAAAACTTGATGACGTCAGCTCAAAATTTTGCGGAACTAATCATATCTAATGCACAAAATATGATGAGTCTGTACTTGTAATTTATCACTCCATTCATATTTTTTGGATTTGCATATACAGGGTGACTCAAAAACATTAATGAGTGGGTGAATTTATTTTATTGAGTTTATCAGGAACTACAAAACCTAATGCTTTGAAATCTTGCAGATGTTTTAAGGTTATAAAGAGCATAATAAATGTTTAGTCAAAATACATTTGCTTATCCCTTCCAAAAAATTGATGATGTCAGCTCGAAAGTTTGCCGAATAAATCCTATCTAAACCTTACAAAATATGATGAGTCTGTACTTATGATTTATCACTCCATTCATATTTTTTTGATTTGCATATACAGGGTGACTCAAAAAAATTGATGAATGCGTAAATTTATTTTATTGATTTAATCAGAAACTACAAAACCGAATGCTTTGAAATCTTGCAGATGTTTTAAGGTTATATAGAGCATAATAAATGTTTAGTCAAAATATATTTGCTTATCCCCTCCACAAAGTTGATGACGTCAGCTCAAAAGTTTGCCGAATAAATCATATCTAAAATGTACAAAATGTGATGAGTGTGTACTTGTGATCTATCTCTCCATTCATATTTTTTAGATTTGCATATACAGGGTGACTCAAAAAAATTAATGAATGCGTAAATTTATTTTATTGATTTACTCAGGAACTACAAAACTGAATTCTTTAAAATCCACTGCGAAAAAAAAACATAATAGGCATGCAGTCGTCACGTTTCCGACAGCGAGGGAAGTACTGTCTAAACTCTTTAGACCAATTTTTTAGCTTTATTGTCGAAAAATGACACATATTAGTATCTATTTTTTCTGACCGTCCCTAGTTTACTTGACTGATTGATATTTTTCTCAGCATGCACATTCAAATTTGTCGGCATGGACTCCGACGAAGAAATCAGAACACTAAAAGAGAAATTAGACAGTATGATAGAACAAAAAAGACGAAGAAACCAAGAAAAGTTGCTACACACCCCGCAACCCGAGGAGAATACTACTTCTGCATTAAAGGTATTATAAATTTAGATCGATCAAAACTGTCCTCAAATTCATTGGGTTATAAAGTTCTATTTTCAATATACTTATTACATTTTTACAAAGACAAGCACCTGAACTTAAATATTCAACGTAGGCAACATAGTATAGAACTGTATTGTATTGTATTATAGTATAAAAATTAACCAGAGAAGGTAAAAAACGTATTAAGAAAAATGTAAAATTTTCCATTTTTTGTGCACCATGTGTTCAGATCAATTTTTTTACCAGATAATGCCATCTTCTCGAGAAGTTCATGTTTCTTATTCACGGCCCATTATTTCAGCTCTAAGAAAAATGATGAACGTTTTGAAACTTTAGCCAGTAATTGTTAAAACTATCTAGAATAATTTTAACAATGTTTTGGCAGAAACGCGATAATAACTTTGTTAATTAAATTATTTTTAGTGGACAGATTTAACAGGAATAGAAGACACTCCAAAGAAGCAAGCTGCTCTATCTGAAGACAGTCATCAAATTAAGGGAAATACCCAAGAAAATATAGTTCCAGGGAACCGGGTTGGACAAGCAACAGATGGCGAAAGAAATAAAACTTCGTCAGATAAGGTAAATTTATTTATGATGAAATATACGTTTTGGCCGTTATTTTGTACCAGAAAAAATAACTCAAATAAGACCTGTGTGCAAAAAGCATAAAAAAAACTTAGAACTATTTCGAAATGTAATTTTTAAATGATTTACAACTATTTTCGAATTATTCACATTGTTGATTTCTTGATTTCTATTCCAGATTTTTGAAAAACGAGCAGGAACCACCGACAAGGGAAAAAAATACGAAGATTTGGTTACCGCTAAAGTCGCACTACAATTGATAAGCGACAGTAAAATAAGAGATTTCTACATTTCTTCGAACGATAAAAATTTTGGTGATTTTGATGACGTGGTTATTGAAATTGAGACAGATAGCATAATAAAAACAAAAGCACTGCAATTAAAACACAGTAATGAAAAAAAACAATTATATATAAAGCAACTGGCAGGCAAAAAAGGAGACTTCAGTTTAATCAAATATTTCAAATCTGCTCAAGAAGTCCAAGGCGAAGTGCAAGAATTGATTTTATTCACCACAAATACATTTGAAACTTCAGAAGAAACAAAATTTAAACTAGAAGGAGAAGAGTTTTACCTGAAGCCGATTGAAAATACAGTTTCAGGAGACGATTTCGACGTTTTAAGAATTTCTGAAAATATAAATTATTATCATACATTTCACATAGTAGAGGACGAATGGACTAAACAAAATGTTGAAAAAATTCAGCAGTACCAAACATTCTTCGAGTGCTTTCGTCTTTACACAAGCCAAGAACGTTTTGAAGCTCTTACAAAATCAACAATGAATAAATTTACTGACATGTTTTGCTCTTACGAAGAAATTTTCAAGAGGTACGTCGAGGTCATATCAGAATGGAGTATGCGAGATGCAAAAAAAGAAAAGCTAAGCAAAAGAGTGATCCAACGTGTCATCGCACTTCGTTTGCTTTCTTCTCAGATCGAACCGTTTGTTTTTGGTTCAGTCACAGACGAAATGAAAATACTTCGAGAGGCTGTTGGTCTGTTCGACATTACGTTGTTGGAAAAAAAAGGCAGCAACGCAGTTAAAAATTTGTGGGGAGATTTGAACCAAAACATTGACCTCAAAGAACTAAACAAAGTTCGATTACTTTATTCTCTTTCTTCTAATTACATAAGTAGTGTCGAAAATCCGGATGCAAATTTGTTGACCCAATTGCTATGGCTGATGGAGAAATGTCCGCTCATTGTGAAAGAACACGTCAACATGGAAAAAGCTATTAACCTCTGTCAAGATGCAAAATTTATTATACTTGGTGAGAGAAAATATGAAAAATGGATGAAAAAACACTCTGTGTTTCAAAACTTGTTCAACTTGAAACCAGAAGTCGAATTGTATGAAAAAGTATTGCGAAAATTCACCATTTCTATACAAGGCAAAGAACCACGTAATTTGGTGACTGCTTTTGACAAAAATGAAGAAATTTTTAAACATGTTACTGTGGAAAAACTTTTAGAGATGGCAAATGGTCCATGCCATATAGATGGACAAAAGGAAGTTTTTCCCAATCTTTATATCGACAGATATTTGTCAGTCAATATTATAGACATCAAATATTTAGAACATGTTAATCGAAACACTGTTATCATTTTAAATTGCGAAGGTAATTCTCAGCAATTGAAAATATCTAAAAACCATACTCTAACAGACATCGAGGGTTTTTTAAGTAATACAGACCCCAAAATTTTTGATAAACCAATTTTTATAAGGAGTGAAAAAACTTGCAGTGATTCTGATTTTCAAATAATATGTTCTAAAACACCAGAATCCACAACTGTGCACTATTTTAAATTTCTCAACGATCAAAATTTACAATGGATTCGAAGCAAAGGATCTGTTAATGAATTGCGAAATTATAAATTACCTAGTCGTTCCAAAAACGAAAACGAAATTTGGTCTTCCGAATTCAGCAACAACATACATCTAATAACAGGTGACCCAGGAATGGGCAAAACCGAGTTAACGAAGAGTCTAAAAAACAACTGTTGTGCGAGATATTGGACCGTGATTCTGAGTGCTCAAGATGTTATGTCTTTCTTTAAAAATTCACCAAAGTCTGAAAAATTAGCAGACTTACAATTCGAAACATTTATTTTAAACGAAAAATATCGAGGCCTCGCTGGGTTGGATCGAGAATTCTTTACAATGTGTTTAAAGCAACGAAATGTGGTTTATGTATGGGACGCTCTTGATGAAATATTTACTCAGTATTTAAATGGTACTTTAGATTTCATTCTTATGTTATCAGAAAAAGGTTTCATTCAGTGGGTTACTGCAAGGCAACATTTGAGATCTTCTCTTGAAGAAAAATTTGATACTCTGTCAGTGAGTATCAATCAGCTCAGCGAAGTCGAGCAAGACGACTACATTAAGAAACGTCTTAACAGTTTTATTGCGTCTGCAAATATGAAACTCACCATCGACAAAATTAAATCAACGTTTGCATTTACAAAACATATAGATATATTGGGAATCCCTCTTCAAATCTTTATGCTTACAGACGTATTACTTAAAAATAAGAAAACATATTTAGAGTTATTGAAAAATAAATTTCTCCTGAGTGACATGTATCATTACTTTATTGAAGGAAAATTTAAGTTTTTCTACGAAGGCAAAGTTCCTGTAAACAATGATTTTTGGCAAGAAAAAGTGAGGAAGGAAAAGGAAGAAAAATTGAAACAGTATGAAAAGTTGGCGCTCAAAGTAATATATCCTAAAAATGTTTTGAAACAATTAAATATAGATTATTCGCAAAAGATAGATACTCTTTCTGAAGATTTCGCAACTGTTGGTATCTTGACTGGAGTACAAAACGGCATACCACAATATGCACATGCTTCCTTTGCCGAATATTTTGTTGCCTTATATTTTTCTAGAAATTTTAAAATGATCCACACTGACATATTTTTTGATGCAAAGTATAATAACGTACGTTTCTTCTTCGACATGTTAACTGGCAAAAATTCACCGGTCCACATCGCGATTTTATATAGAAATTTCGATGAAGTGGAGAACTTTGACGACAAAATAATAAAACGTAAAGATGAGTGTGGAAGAAGTGCCTTACATCTCATTTGCTCTTGGGGACGAAGACATGGGCGTTTAAAAGTACAACTAGAAGACGAGAGTTATGTTATCAAGACAAATAGGCAGATTATGCGTAGTTCGTTAGAAACGAAACAATATTTTAAAGCGTTATGGTTTTTGTTAGACAAATGTGAAATATTAGAAGAAGATTTTTTACATCAACTGACACCCTTAGCATGGGCACAAGAAAGTGAAAGTTTGGGAGCGGAACTGGAATTATTACAAACACGTAAATTACAATTGGAAGATTCGTATAATCGAATAGACAGAATTAATATTTTATTTTTTGCCGCTTTGCACGGATACGCAGAAGCGTTTAAAATATTATTTTCATCTTCGAGTATTTCTAATAATGAAGTAAATTTTAGTGTTGAATTCGATGGTAGTACGCCTCTTATAATAGCTTCTCAAGAGGGGCACGAAAGAATTGTAGAGTACTTGGTCAAATACGGAGCCGAAATCAATCGCGCTGATTTTTATGGTCAGACACCGCTTTACGCAGCTTCCTCTCGAGGTCACGAAAAAATTGTCGAATGCTTGGCCAAATGCGGAGCAAAAATTAATCCCTCTAATTATTATGAGACCACATTGCTTTACGCAGCTTCCTCTCAAGGTCACGAAAAAGTTGTCGAATGCCTGGTGAAATGCGGAGCCGAAATCAATCGCGCTGATGAAGATGGTCGGACACCGCTTTACGCAGCTTCCTTTCAAGGTCAGGAAAAAACTGTCGCATGCCTGGTGAAATGTGGAGCCGAAATCAATCGCGCTATTAGGAATGGTGAGACACCGCTTTACGCAGCTTCCTCTCGAGGTCACGAAAAAATTGTCGAATGCCTGGTGAAATGCGGAGCCGAAATCAATCGCGCTGATGAAGATGGTCAGACACCGCTTTACGCAGCTTCCTCTCGAGGTCACGAAAAAATTGTCGAATACCTGGTGAAATGCGGAGCCGAAATCAATCGCGTTGATGAAGATGGTCGGACACCGCTTTACGCAGCTTCCTTTCAAGATCAGGAAAAAACTGTCGAATGCCTGGTGAAATGCGGAGCCGAAATCAATAGCCCTGATAAATATGGTGGGACACCGCTTTACGCAGCTTCCTCTCGAGGTCACGAAAAAATTGTCGAATGCCTGGTGAAATGCGGAGCCGAAATCAATCGCGCTGATGAAGATGGTCGGACAGCGCTTTACGCAGCTTCCTTTCAAGGTCAGGAAAAAACTGTCGAATGCCTGGTGAAATGCGGAGCCGAAATCAATAGCCCTGATAAATATGGTGGGACACCGCTTTACGCAGCTTCCTCTCGAGGTCACGAAAAAATTGCCGAATGCCTGGTGAAATGCGGAGCCGAAATCAATCGCGCTGATGAAGATGGTCAGACACCGCTTTACGCAGCTTCCTCTCGAGGTCACGAAAAAATTGTCGAATACCTGGTGAAATGCGGAGCCGAAATCAATAGCCCTGATAAATATGGTTGGACACCGCTTCACGCAGCTTCCTCTCGAGGTCACGAAAAAATTGTCGAATGCCTGGTGAAATGCGGAGCCGAAATCAATCGCGCCGATAAATATGGTCAGACACCGCTTTACGCAGCTTCCTCTCGAGGTCACGAAAAAATTGTCGAATGCTTGGTGAAATGCGGAGCCGAAATCAATCGCGCTAATGAAGATGGTCGGACACCGCTTTACGCAGCTTCCTTTCAAGGTCAGGAAAAAACTGTCGAATGCCTGGTGAAATGCGGAGCCGAAATCAATAGCCCTGATAAATATGGTGGGACACCGCTTTACGCAGCTTCTTCTCAAGGTCACGAAAAAATTGTCGAATGCCTGGTGAAATGCGGAGCAAAAATTAATCCAGCTAATAAATATGAGAACACACTGTTGTACGCAGCTTCATCTCGAGGTCACGAAAAAATTGTCGAATGCCTGGTGAAATGCGGAGCCCAAATCAATCGCGCTTATGAAAATGGTCGGACATCGCTTTACGCAGCTTCCTCTCGAGGTCACGAAAAAATTGTCGAATGCCTGATGAAATGCGGAGCCGAAATCAATAGCCCTGATAAATATGGTGGGACACCGCTTCACGCAGCTTCCTCTCGGGGTCACGAAAAAATTGTCGAATGCCTGATGAAATGCGGAGCCGAAATCAATAGCCCTGATAAATATGGTGGGACACCGCTTCACGCAGCTTCCTCTCGGGGTCACGAAAAAATTGTCGAATGCCTGGTGAAATGCGGAGCCGAAATCAATCGCGCTGATGACTTTGGTGATACACCGCTTTACGCAGCTTCCTCTCGAGGTCACGAAAAAATTGTCGCATGCCTGGTGAAATGTGGAGCCGAAATCAATCGCGCTATTAGAAATGGTCAGACACCGCTTTACGCAGCTTCCTCTCAAGGTCACGAAAAAATTGTCGAATGCCTGATGAAATGCGGAGCAAAAATTAATCCAGCTAATAAATATGAGACAACATTGCTGTACGCAGCTACCTCTCAAGGTCACGAAAAAATTGTCGAATGCCTGGTGAAATGCGGAGCCGAAATCAATCGCGCTGATAAATATGGTCAGACACCGCTTTACGCAGCTTCCTCTCGAGGTCACGAAAAAATTGTCGCATGCCTGGTGAAATGTGGAGCCGAAATCAATCGCGCTATTAGGAATGGTGAGACACCGCTTTACGCAGCTTCCTCTCAAGGTCACGAAAAAATTGTCGAATTCCTGGTGAAATGCGGAGCCGAAATCAATCGCGCTATTAGAAATGGTGAGACACCGCTTTACGCAGCTTCCTCTCGAGGTCACGAAAAAATTGTCGAATGCCTAGTGAAATGCGGAGCAAAAATTAATCCAGCTAATAAATATGAGAACACATTGCTGTACGCAGCTGCCTCTCAAGGTCACGAAAAAATTGTCGAATGCCTGGTGAAATGCGGAGCCGAAATCAATTGCGCTGATAAATATGGTCAGACACCGCTTTACGCAGCTTCCTCTCGAGGTCACGAAAAAATTGTCGAATACCTGGTGAAATGCGGAGCCGAAATCAATAGCCCTGATAAATATGGTTGGACACCGCTTCACGCAGCTGCCTCTCAAGGTCACGAAAAAATTGTCGAATGCCTGGTGAAATGCGGAGCCGAAATCAATAGCCCTGATAAATATGGTCGGACACCACTTTCCGCAGCTTCCTCTCAAGGTCACAGAAAAATTGTGGAATTCTTAGTAAAATGTGGAGCAAAACCTTCGATTTAATAAAATGAATAATGATGGTTGAACTCGAATAGTCACCAAAAATCTGTCGAATGATTAGTTCAACGATGATCCGAAACTCCTGTACGCCGGGCCAGACTTTCAATATTTTATTACCATCCGCCGCCTCACTTTTTATTGTTATTTTGTTGATCATATCAGGGACGGTAATTTTTCTCTATCTATTAAAAAGAATGTTACCTTAACCTTTGAGAGATATTATTACATACTTTAATTATATGATTTATATTTAAAAAAAATAGAATTGAAAAAAACTGAAATTGTTCGAGCGTATTTCAGGAGCGAGAAATGTCCTGTCTGATACCTTGGACCAATTATACCTAGTTTGATTAAAATTAAAATTTGAGTCTACATTATTTTTGGTAATACAGTGTTTTTCTTTATTTGTAGAATATGTTTCACTATTTAACACATTTTTCCCGTATTTGCCTTTTTGATATCATATGCCCAAAGTAATTCCCTTTGTCAAAATTCTTTCAATTTATCGCAGGGCCCAAGCATAAGTAATAATAATAATAATAATAATAAAAGCGTTTATTGTTCTACAAAAGAGACAATGTGAGAACAAAAGTTTCGGCTACAGCTCAACGCTGATACATTTCTAAGAACCAAACCCGTAAATACAAACAAGAGTATACAAAATAAAATAAGACGAGAAAAAAGAAACACATTAAAATTTTATTGTATCAATGTTGAAATTATTGCTCAAAATTTGTTTATTTATTTTGTTTTTAAGATTAAAATTAGAGTACCCGCATGCTAACTCAGGGCACTTATTGAAAACGTAACTAGCCAAGTAAGAAAATGAAGTTTTAAACATTGACATTTTATGCGAAGGTATATCAAGTTGTGCATCGACAAATCGTAAGTTTTTGGAATGAACTTGACTTCGTTTCAATATTTTATTGTAAAGATAAACTGGCGCATGTTCCTTTAAGACACTGTTAAGAAAACAACTGTAATGAATACAACGTTGTTCGTTCATTTTAAGTAAACCAAAAGATCTCAAATATGGAGTAATATGATCACCAAAAGGAACATTTGTAATAAATCTAATGCAGTTGTTTTGAATTTTTTGAAGCTTTGGTTTGTCATTTATAGTAAGGCAAGGACCATACAATTCATCGCAATAATTGAGGCGTGATAAAATCAACGAATTCATAAGCAAAAGTTTAGTTTTTCCATTTAAAATATGTTTTAGAGGAATAAGTTGCCTAAATTTTAAGTAACACTCTCTACAGATATGAGACACATGAGAGGAGAATGTTAATTCAGAATCGAATATAACCCCAAGATTGTTAACCTTGTCTACGTACTCTATTTTTTCATTATTAATAGTAATTTGAAGACTGACGCCTGAAAGTTTATGTGATGTGCCAAACAAGATATTGTGACACTTTTTTGTGTTAATCAATAATGAATTTGATGATGTCCATTTGTAAATCTCGTTTAGGTCATGATTAATCCTTTCTTGAGCACGTAATACTTCACAGGGAGGGAAACTTAAAAATAATTGAATATCGTCGGCGTATAGATGAATTTTACAAAACTTTGGCATATAAACGATGTCAGATAAAAAAACGGAAAAAAGTAGGGGGCCTAATTTGGAGCCTTGAGGAACCCCATTGCTAACTCTGCGCTCACTAGAAAAAACTTGACTTTCAGTTGTATTTAAACGACAGACTTGTTTACGATTGTATAAATAGCTTCTGAACCAATCAAAGTTTGGATTAGAGATACCATAATAGTAGAGCTTTTCTAATAAACAGTCTATGTTCAATGAGTCGAACGCTTTGGTTAAGTCTAATAACGTTACAGAAGTTAAATTTCCTAAATCTATATTGCTAATTATATGATCTGTTAACGACACAAGTGCAGTAGCGGTACTATGACATTTACGAAAACCTGATTGAACCGGTGGTATGATGTTTTTGGAATTAATAAATTCACTAAGCTGCTGAGAAATAACAGACTCAGCAATCATCAAAGCAACAGGCTGAATGCTAATAGGCCTCATGTCATTCAGAGATGTAAATTTATTCTTTTTTGGTACGGGAGTTACGCATGAAGTTTTCCATAATTTGGGAACATAACTATTTTCAAAACTGAGGTTAATGATGTGTGTCAAGGGGGCACTAACAAATGGCAAAGCAATTCTCAACATCCTACCAAAAATACCGTCATACCCCGTAATAGAAGGTTTTAATTTCAGTATTGCTTCTTCAATTTTCTCTACTCCCACAGGTGAAAATACAAAATTACTGTCATTAGAAAAATTTGTACGGTTTATGTAATCACGAAAGCTAGATGTTGTAGTGACCGCAGGAACAGAATTTATAAAATAGTTGTTTATCTGGTCAGCATTAGCTAGTTCAGGAGGTATGGTTTCATTATTTTTACTTGCTATTATATTAGAGTTCCGTAAAGTTGCCCAAAATTTTCTTGGATTATTTTTACAATTCTGTGTAAAGTTGTATGTCATAAAACCACGTTTTTCTTGCTCTAGTGCAATATTATAAAAATTTCTTAGTTCACAATAGTACCTTCTATGTTGTTCAAGCTTTGTCCTACAAAAATGATTCCAAGCTTTCCTTTTTAGGATTCTCAATTTTCTAAGATTGTGAGTATACCATGGTTGATGAGATCTTTTAGTTTTATGACAACAGATTCTTAATGGAGCATGTACATTAAAAATACTTAAAATGCATTCGTTAAAATATTTAACTTTTTCATCTAAGTCTGGCAACATATATATTTGATTCCAGTTAATTCTCTCAGCATCCTTGGAAAATTCATTTATGTCCAAATTTTTAAAACTTCTAGTAATTTTATGATTAGTTATCACGTTATAATTATTAAAATCTACTATACAATGAATATTGTTGTGGTCGGCTAGTGCAAGATCAGATACCCAAGACTTAATAATTTCAACATTTGAACTAACAATAATTAGATCTAAGAGAGATTCGGTATCCTTGCTAATCCGTGTGGGAACATTAATTAATTGGTTACAATCAAGTTCAAATAACAAAGATTTTAGAAATTTGCTACCAGGAGAATCAACAAGCAAATCAATATTGAAGCCACCAATAAATATAAAATCAAGTTTTTTAAGGGTCAAAATAGTATATTACATATCGAGGGTGGTAAGAAGCTATATATATATATTAAGAATATATATATATATATATATATATATATATATATATTACGTGCCTGTTCATTCATTACATGCCAGTGGGTGTAACTATGGTTTTACTATGAGGCTAGACAGTTCGTAATTCATGGATTACTATGTGGGAGTAGAAAAAATTTATAATATCTCCTAGCAAATTTAGATTGTTAAAATTATTATCAGGTGGTCTGTAAAATGTACCTACGGCAATCTCTTGTGAGTTTATCTTAAGTTTAATTAATAAGTATTCAATAGAGCTATCAGAGGTTTGATCCGAACAAAACTTTAAAATTTCAAATTTAAGAAAAGACTTAACATATAAAGCAACACCTCCACCTACTGTGGCACGATCCTTGCGAATGATGTTGTAGCCTGGCAAGCTAAAAGTATCGTCTGGAACATCCGGTGGAAACAACGTTTCACTGACGCCGATGAGGGAATAATCATATTGGAATACTATTATGTCTTTGAACTTGTGAAATTTGTTACACAAGGATCTTGCGTTCAGGTGAGTAATAGCTAGGCCACTTGGTTTTGATTTGTGCACTTCCAAAAAAATTTATTGACAGTTACTCCAGAAGGCCAAAAGTTTGGATCCATTACAGATTCAGTTAATAAGTTTGGGACGGTGATTTTAAAAGACGAGTATACTTCTGGATGTTTAGAGCTCATTTTCTGGCAGTTTATCTATGATGACGTTGATGCAAAAAATGCAACTACATCTTCAACGGTTGTACCAGGAAGAAGGCGGCTTATATGAAAGCTAGAAGTTTTATTGCGCTTTGGAACACCAACTAAGGTATTCCCACTTGACGAAACACCACTGCCAACTATTGGTTTAGATCTCCTTTTCTCGTTAAGAGAAGGTTTTCCTTTGGGGCTGCTACCAGAGTTAAGTTGTTTCTCATTCTTATTGCCACGTTTTTTATGAGTCACCAGTTTAAAACCATCCTGGAAGACATCATCGTCTGCGTCATGTTGAGTTTTGTTGTCATCTTCACTCAGATAGATAATTTCATTCATGATTGCGCAGCTGTTTATCGTGCATCAGCTGTGCATTTTTTGTTTTCTTATAATCAGCAGCAGTACCTGTAGAAATAAGTCTTTTATCAATCGCACACTGAGGTTTTTCAACGCTCACGATTGAATTCGCAGTTTTATTATATAGGTCGATTTTAATTTGGTGAATTTCGTTAATAATTTGATGGAAGCGTTCATTTACCATGTCGACAGATGCATATTTACCAAGTATCGAAGTATTTTTAACTTGCTTAAGTTGTTTCGTAAGAGTATCAACTTCAGTTCTTGAGAAGTGTAGTTGTTCTTTAAGCAATTCTATTGTTGTTGACATTTCTGCAATAGTTGCTTTGAGTTTCATGTTTTCCCATTGAAAATTTGTAAGAATATCTTGTGAGGTCACATTTTCTTCAATGTCATCGTCGCCGTCGTCAGCGAAACTTTCGTTTTCATGATAGGCAATTGTTGATTTCTTGGAACAGCAATTTGTTCTTTGTGCACAACTTTGATGAAATGTAGCTTTACAATTAACACATATCACTTTTTTTTTAATTACTGGTCTTTTACACGTAGTACAATTGAAATTAATAAGAGCTGCTTTCTGCACTGTATTAGTGTCAGCCATTTTCAAACTAAAATAAAAAAAGTAATTTATTTTAACAAATATGTCAATCTATAATCATGAAATACCTATAACAAATTATTTAAGTTCAAAATTTCATTTCTGTTGAGGCAATCCCCACAAATTATTGCGTCAAAAGCATTGTGTACTTGGATATTGGATATTTAATTCGTCTTCGTTTCTAGGATGACTTCTTTTAAGAAGCACTTTCCACTGATTAAACAGTTTCCCAATTTGGTTTGATCTGTAGATTTCAAAGGGGGCTGCACATGTCATTACCACTCTTCGACCAAGTTTTGAGCTCCTGGTCTAAGAAAAGTCCTATATCGAGGTAGAAATACACGAAAAACTCCATGGGTTTGTATCAATTGTTAAATTTATTCAGTTCTGTGAAATCTTACATTGTTCACTAAAATATGTCCGTGCGCCCCTAATATTATCTTTTTGTAACTGATTCAATAAGGTTTTAAAAAATCGTAATCGACTAATTCCGACCTGTCAGCTGACCTTTAACTTTGTTTGCGCTACAGTTACTTGGTGATCTTCCGTAAGAGTTAAGCACAGTCTTTATTAACACAATTGCATATTTGTTCTTTCTGTTGTTCAGTTAACTTTTTCGGGAACTGAACAGCATTCCTTTTCTCCTTAACTTGATTAGTCGAGTAAATTTTTCTAACAGTGTTTGGTAGGGTATTAAAGTGCTGTCCAAATTGCTGATTTAATTAAGAGTAGGAAATAAATTTGACAATTAGTGGAACACAATTAATAAAAGACCAAAATCAAAAGAAAAACACTATTTTATGATGTACATCTTTGTATACCTACATACCTATATCCTTCATCTGTTTTCAGATATTGTAAAGATTTGTATTGCTTATTAATTAATTAATTAATTAATTAATTAGCAATACAAATCTTTACAATATCTTAATATAATATAATATATTAATTAATTAATTAATTAATTAATTAATTAATTAATTTATCTATTCTTATACTTAAACTTATTTTTGAGATTCACAAAATTTTCACATCTATGGAAAACATAGCCACAAACTAAATAAGTCACTTTCTTTTATGGCTACATATTTCAATTGAATAAACTAATTTGACATGACGACTTCTTTTATAATTATTTTGTTTATAGTTTTTTCTTAAGTACCATTATCGGATTTTTTAAATTGCATGAAATTTATTTTATTCTATTCACACAAAATTTGAATTTTCGATAAATTATTTTGATACTATTCCACATTTTAATTAGTTGACGACCACATAAATGCAAACTCGATCAGTCAATATTTTATGAAAAATTTTCAAGTATATTTTCGGGCAAACTCAGCTAAGCTGCTTCAACTTTTACTTTAGGTGAGTCATCAACGAAATATATTTGGCGTTATGTAACTATGAATTTCAGTACAAATTTTTTTCGTGAGGCCTTCACAACAATACGAAGAGAACTGCAGCAAAAACTGGCGTACGTCCTATTATCAAACTTTAAAAAAATACAAACAAAACACATAAACTAAGGTAAGTAAAAATATTTTAAAATTAACTTTATAAATTTGGTTTAACATTTCAGTGCAGGTGTTTCCATAGTTTAAAAAAAATATGGAACCAAAACTTCTGTTATTCATCAAGAACTAATATTGGAACAATGTTTTGAAAAATGCTTCCGCTTCAAAAACAGGTAAATTTCCCTACCAAAGTACTTATTTTTATTTATCACATTTTGCATTATAGACTTTTCCTGCCTGCCAAAACAACGAATTGAAAAACAGCAACTGGTGTTGTAATTTCGTATCACAACAAAATGTATCTTAGGTGGAATCAGGTTTCTAACCTCAAGTTTTAACAAATGGGTTTAAAACCGCTAACTGACATGGACAATATCAACAGAAGAGGGTTTTAAGGTAACTTTTACAACTTTAAAATTCACAGTATCACAAAATATTTAAAATTGCAGCAAAACTTACGCTAAATGAATTCCAAACCAGAGAATTTAGTCGTAATTCCTGCACCGTCAGCAGGAACTTCATCTTGTCATCGTAGTAGCTACTAATTGCCCATACATTCCGAAATCACTGCATAGAAAACAGTATGGTGCGTCAGAAAATCATCTTAATCAATGTCATATTATTTACATGAGCAAACCGTTCACAGATAACATCATTTAACATATTAATAACGCATTCACTTTGATTGAGATAGTTTTCCATCGCACAATTAATTCTAGTTATAATATGTAATGTGATAATAATTTTATTATGTGCAAGGAGTGTTGTAAATGGTTGGTCCAATGTGTAATTTATTTCGTCTGTGTGTGTCTTTTTTTGTCAGGATCGCTCAACGGATGCAGCATTCATGTCTAACAAATGGCAACGCTAGATTCACTGTTCACGCATTCAGGACGCGTTTTTGTATTTGCATCTGTTCGACGCTTAGAGTACAAAATATTCAAAAATTTTAAATTGTCAAGTGCCATGATACCTTTTAACGACTTATGCTCAGAATTAGCAAGAAACGACGTCACGGCTGTTTTCCATCGTCGAATATTTTTCTCACCATATAGATCCACTCAGGTTGCATAACTAAAATGAACATTTTGTACCAAATCGTGGTTCTCTTGGAGCGTCGAAATGGCTTGTGGTTTAAGTTTGTTCATACTGTTTTAAACATTTCACAACGATTTTCCATTAACATCCTCTTTTGACAAACTGACAAAGTTTGTTTCAGAGAGGAAGCGGGAAATTTACTGTGACCAAATACTGAAAATGCTACAAGCATAGCAACTACGAAACTTTTTTTTTCTTGAAAATTGGTACACAGATGAAAAAACACTTAACAAAACCAAAGCACATAATTGAAGTAGCTTTTGATTTGAGAATAGTTGTTGATAGAATATGTAAAAATCTGAATTGGAACAAAAATACCGAAGACGGACTGCAACCTTGTCGTATTTTCTGACTTAATTATAGCTTTTTCAGTTTATTAAAAAAAGTATCATGACATGTGAAAGATATTTTTATTTTGTACTTGAGATATGTACATATATTGTAGTTTATAAGTTTATTACTAGTAACATAACGGTGATTACTAATAAGGACTTCAACAAAGCTATCTATCTAAAACAGTGGTTCGCAAACTTTTATTATTGATGGCACCCTAAAATATTAAACAAAATTTGGCTGCACCCCTCCAAGAACAGTTTTAATTGTAACTAATTTATTATCAAAAACACTTTATCACATGATTGTATAATATGTAATTGATGTTAAGATTGTTTTATAAATATTTGTTTTCCATAATTTAAGCTTGTCTTTTAAAGCCAAAATTTTTTCACTAGAGGTATAAAATATTTTCATTTCTACCTTGCATACTAGATTTTACATATATTTAAGTGTTCAAAAATATTAGTTTAATATGCTAGTTTTGCACACCAAACGTGGGCTTGAAGAAGGTCAAAAGATTGTCCAATATTTTCTGATTCAAAAAACGTTTATATCTGTTTTCTTAATTCCCAAAATCGGGAACGAACACGGCCTTTAGATAGCCATCTTACTTCAGCATGAAGAAAATTAACATGTTCAGAACACATTTTCTATTACTGAACAGTTGTAGCATATTAATAAAATCAGATCATCAATTATTATTTTTTAAAGTTGGTTTTGTGCTTATCTAATATATAAAAATAAGTCGGGTTTTCCTTTCTGACGCTATAACTCCAGAACGCACGAACCGATTTCCACGGTTTTGCATTCGTTGGAAAGGTCTCGGGCTCCGTGAGGTTTATAGCAAAGAAAATTCTGGAAAAATTTCAAGAGAAAAGCAGCTAAAAGCTAAAAAAAATTTTAAAAATTTTGCACGGGAATCGCCACTTCCAATGAATTTGAATAGTTGGCTATTCCTGACGGACCTGTCGCCTGACTGACGTGTCACAGAAAACTATTTCTTCCGTGCGATTGTGAAAAGTATTATTTTGCACTCATGACCTTTTTTGATAGCTTTCGCGCATTCACCAGAGTGCGGGAGGTCGAACTTCCCGCACACGTGCATTTAACTTCCCGTTGCCATGGTAACCTTAAAATACTCGGGTAGTGTCAACATTGTGACGTGTTGACGGCGCTGTCAATGGCGTTGTTTATAAATAACTCACAGTTAATCTCTTCAATTTAAAGGTTTATTCGTCGCAAAAAATATTGTACACAACACGTTCGTGAGCCTGCTTCCCGCATTCACGCAAATGCGGCACTCCCTTCGGTCGTGCCTCAAACAAGCGTTCATGCGGGAAGCAGGCTATCCCGAACTAGTTGCGTAAATTACTATTGCATTTCAAGTCGTTGTTTGTTTTTTCGTAACAAAAAACGTCATTTACTTCAAGAAAAGTCTTCGTTAAAGTGAATTCAGTTACGCATTGCGAAAGTTTCTTATTAATTTTGATCTGCCATTCTATTTGCCTATGTTCACTTTGTTGGTTTCGACAAAACCTCAAACTTTACCGTTATTCGAGGATTTGATTTGAAGTTTTCAGTATTTTAAAATTCTCAAGACAAAATTTACAGATTTGATTGACTGCGAAAATAATTCTGTGTCGTTTTATGAAGTTCATTACAACGCCGAGAAGACGATAAGCTGACATAGGTCCACGAAGTCAATGAAATGTACGACGAACTACCTCAGGTACAAATCGCAATGATTTATTTCATGGGTAATTCGGATACGGAAGTTGATCAGCGTCGTGCTCATAATCAACATAATAGTCAAACATTGAAGCGAGACATTGGGTGGTATGAATAAAACTGAGTAGATACTCATATTTGAAGTACGAAGTACCTACTTGCAAACACTGTATCTCCCCGGACACAAATTGAACATCTACGCGTTTTGTGAGCATTTAATCTAAAAATGAGCATCGGCGTGGCAAATGACTGAGCTGTCTGTAAAGCAGCTTAGAAAACGAGTAGGATCGTTGTAAGAGTGAATTTTGACTAAACATGGCGACTTTCATGAAGGTGGAGCGTCGTCAAAAGGTGCATTCAGTTTGAAAAACACATTAGGAGCGGGAATATCGAAAACTTTTCAGGTAATTAACTTTTATTTATTGTGCAGTGCGTTCTTTCCAACACTGGCCATATAGATTCCCATCTCAAGGTGTCTACCCCATACTAACTTATATTTTGGTGACTCGATTTTTGTTTTGATGGTTGAAGACTCGCACTGTTTTCCGTTTTTGTTGTATCGAGATGCTACTTGAGCATCAACTGTTACCTACTGAAGTATTAGCATCATTTAGAAAAACTAGAAATATTTTGATTTGATATTCCAGTAGATACCTCGTATTTCGAGTATGAGCATTTACTGAGTTTTATTTATATCAACCATTGTCAAAAAATTGATCGAACGTTGTTTCGACAGAACTTCCTTCCCACCAAAAGTATAATGAAACATATTCAGCATTTTCGAGTTGAGTCTTTTCTTCACACAATTTTGTGATGACCAAATCAACATTTACAATCAACACGTATATCACCTTGGATTGGTGCAGTGTAACTAATACTAAAAATAACAACTGTATTGTATCTCCAAAATTATCTGCGAAAATCGAGTGAGCCGTCCCATCAATTTTTAATGAATAACAATTTACCATGCTTACAATAACTTTAAAACGTCTGCAAGATCTCAAAGTATTCATTTCTGCAACTCTTGAGTTATTCAATAAAATAAATTGTCTGATCCATACATTTTTTTAAGTCACTGTAAAAGCAAATCTAAAAAATTGGTCTAAAGAGTTTAGACAGTACTTCCCTCGCTGTCGGAAACGTGACGACTGCATGTCTATTATGTTTTTTTTTTGCAGTGGATTTCAAAGCATTCGGTTTTGTAGTTCCTGAGTAAACCAATAAAATAAATTTACGCGTTCATTATTTTTTTGAGTCACTCGGTATATGCAAATTCAAAAAATGTGAATGGAATGATAAATTACAAGTACAGACTCATCATATTTTGTATATTCTAGATAGGATTTATTCGGCAAACTTTTGAGCTGACGTCATCAGTTTTTTGGAGAAGATAACCCCATATATTTTGACAAAAAATTTATTATGCTCTTTATAACCTTAAAACATTTGCACGATTTCAAAACATTCGGTTCTGTAGTTCCTGATTAAATCAATAAAATATATTTACGCATTCATTAATTTTTTTGGGTCAGCCTGTATATACAAATCCAAAAAATATGAATGGAATGATAAATCACAAGAAGAGACTCATCATATTTTGTACATTTTAGATAGGATTTATTCAGCGAAATTTTGTGGTGACATCATAAATTTTTTAGGGGGGATGAGCAAATACATTTTGATCTAAAACTTACCATGCTTATGACAACTTTAAAGAATCATCAAGATTTCAAAGCATTCGGTTTTGTAGTTCCTGAGTAAATCAATAAAATAAATTTACGCATTCATTAATTTTTTTGGCGTCAGCCTGTATAAGCAAATCCAAAAAAATATTCTCCTAGGGATCATGAAAGATCGAGAAAAGGTAAAAGTAGAGAGTCGGCCGACGGACTCGATTACAATACTTCCTTTGCTTACGCTCGGGAACTAAAAATATGAATGCAATGATAAATTACGAGGATATACTGATGATATTTTGCACATTTTAGATAGGATTTATTCGGAAAAATTTTGAGATGATGTCATCAAGTTTTTGGGCTTGATAAACAGATATATTTTGATTAAAAAACTAACATGGTTACAGTAACTTCAAAACGTCTGCAATATTTCAAAATATTCAGTTTTACAATTCTTGATAATAATAAAGTTTATTTAGGGTTTTCAGTCAATAAAATAAATTGACCCAGTGATTAATTGTTTTGGGACACCCCGTTTAAGCAAAACTAAAAAAATATTAATGCAGTGATAAATCACAAGTAAAAACTCATCATATTTTGCACATTTCAGATAGGATTTATTCAGCAAAATTTTCAGGAGACGTCATCAATTTTTTAGGGGGAATGAACAAATACATTTTAATAAAAAAATTACTATGCTTATGATAACATTAAAGCATCTCCAAGATTTCAGAGCATTCGGTTTTGCAGTTCCTGATTAAATCAATAAAATTAATTCACCCATTCATTATTTTTTTTGAGTCACCCTATATAAGCAAATCTAAAAAATATGAATGGAATAATAAATCACAAGTATAGACTCATCCTATTTTGGACATTTTAGATAGGATTCATTTGGCAAATTTTGAGCTGACGTCATCAATTTTTTGGAGAGGATAAGTAAATATATTTTGAATAAAAATGTATTATGCTTATCATATGTTTAAAACATCTGCAAGTTTTCAAAGCATTCGGTTTTGCAGATTCAAAATTAAATTGTAGGTGAAACGAAGTTCACCGGGTCAGCTAGTACCTTTTAATTTTTTCGAAACAGAATTTTCGGTTCTGTAACTGTACATTTTTGACCTTAAACCTATGTACTCTAACATCTTAATACCATTCAATTCATCTTTGAATTTCCCTATTACTTTCTTATTTTTATCAGAATATAATGGACGATCTTTAGGATAATTAGATGTATCAAAATAGTCAGGATTGTTTTTAATAAATTCATAGAAATCGGCATTTTTAATCTCATATATAAAGCTATCAGTATCTCCATAAAGAAGTTTTACGTTTTCATTAAATTCTTTTTTAATTACATTGTAATGGAAGTTATACATTAATAATTTCGATAAATCTAATACGGCTTGCCCAATGTAAATCGGTTTATTAAACAATACTTTCGTTTTATAATTGTGAACTACTGCCAGGTGTTTGCTAAATATAGTTCTGTGTTTAAAATTAGGTTTGTTTATCGCTATTTGTAATTTTTCTTCATCACAATATAATTTAATATTTTGTTGGTTTCTAACAGATTGCATAGACTTACCATATGGGGCATTAACCATTAATTTCCAGAAATCTTTTTCAAAATCATTTTTCGCCTTTTGTCTTTGTTCAGTATTAAATTTTACATATGTGCTATGAAATTTGACTGAGTAAATTTTATACGTCTGTGAACCTTTGTTATTCTAATACCTAAACTTTTGTAAAGTTTTAATGTTTTGTAATGAATTATATAATTTTTCTTATCGTAGAAATGACAAAGTAGTTTTTCTACTTTTCCGCCCGGAGGAATTCTATTTTCCGGAGCCAAAGGCAAGTCATTGAATTTGTTATGAATAGCCAAGTCTACAGGGAATGCTAAATCAACTTCTAAAACATAACCCGTATCACTATCTGATAACAGTA